ATGCTTCTGATGTGCTAAGAGGTCTGTGTGATATTTGATGGTTTCCGATGTATAGTGTTATTCAACAATTTTATTCTATTCGAGAACTTACCACACTGAAATTATCTCTTAAATAAAGTCATAAAGACGTCCAAAGCAGGAAAGAGTCTTTCAAGTATGCTCAAATTTAAATTAGTTAATCCTATCAGAGCTTTTTCAGATAATAGTAAACGCTTATTGCGTGTCATGTCGTAGATATTGTTATTATGTGACAAACTGTTTGATAATTTAATTTTCTTACAAGAAATTCAATTAACTCACTGACACTTTAGCGGTAAAAGTAGAATGGAGAGGTTGGTGCGTATATTTACTTTGTTAAAATTAACCGGATATGTTAATATATTAAAGCGCTTGATATACCGATACTTACAAGTTAGAATCTTAATAGGGATATCGCAAAGGGGAAGATGTTGCTGTGACCTGTTAGTTATCTAACCAACAATATTTTTCACATAAGTTGTAACACCGATCATCTCTATAGGGTATTGAGGCTAAGCTTAAGCTTAAAAAGCGTGTTCGAGGTTATCTACTTGTTTAAAGAGAAAACACAGAAAGTTCAAAAATTTAATATCATTCGAAAGAACATTCTTTGGCATTTGTTTTTTGAAGATTATCTCATTCAAATGTTGGCCGCGGCTACGTCTCAGATGGTTCATCCGTTGAGTCCAATTTTTCATGACTCAGTCGAGCATTTCGACTGGTACCTAACGCATAAAACGGGTGAAGTTTTCCTACAAAGAGTGAATTGAAGCGGTATTGTCTGCAAAGACTTTAGACTTTACATATCCCCACAGAAAAAAGTCTATCAGTGTGATATCACACGATCTTGTTGGCCAATCGACCGGCCCAAAACGTGAAATTATCTGCCTACCGAATGTTTTCTGAATAAATCCATCGATTGATGCGATGTGTCGGAAGTGGTGCCGTCTTGTTGAAACCAAATGTCGCCGAGATCACGAGGTTCAATTAAGAGGCATCAAATAGTGTGTTATCAAGGCGTGGCAACGCTTAACGTCATTAACTATAATGTTCTCACCGTCATCATTTTTGTAGAAATATGGACTGATATTCCACAAACAACAGCAAACCGTTATTTTTTCTGGGTGAAATTGCAGCTCTTGAAACCCTTCAGGTTGCTCTTCGTTCCAAATGCGGCAATTTCATTTTTTACATACCTATTGTGCTAAAAATGGGACTCATCGCTGTAAAAATTTTGGCTCGAATACGTCGAATCTTCTTGGAGCTTTTCAAGAGCCCATAGCGAATGGCGCAGAATCGACTCTCCGCGGTCTTCGCTTATACTCTCAGGTACGGCTGCTATCCATATTTTCTGCACTGCGCACTGGACGTGATCTATTCGCTAGAATATTATCCAATAATGAATGGTGGGTCTCAAGATGGCTGATGGTGTTGCGAATAGGACGTTCAGTGTGCCGATTATGTTGACTATAAGGATATACTGAATAATACTCAATAAAAAAAACATGACACGACTCACGTGTGATCTGTTAAAAGAAAAATAATATTGAAAAAAGTACCTCTAACCAGTGGACGTCGGACCAGTGATATAATGTTTTTTTTTTTTGGCCCAAATAGCAGCTGATTATTGAAGTTTTATATTTAAGAATCACCCTTAATGAGGACCAATTTCCAGCCTAGCATTCCTAGTATTTTCAAAATTCTACCAACGAGTATTTAAAATTCTCTACTCTATATTTAAATATTTAATATCTGTAATGAAATGCGAATGATAAATCTCCAAAATATTATTCCACAAATTCCGTTATTATGTGGTATGTGTGTACATGTGTACTTTTGATGACAAAATCCTGAGACAGCTTCAACCCTAGCGAACACACTGAAGTCCCGTACACAATTACATTTAATGTTTAATGACAAAATAGCAAATAATATTCAAATATTCGCATATAAGTGACCAAATTAGATTATCTTCCACAACATTTAACCGATTCACTGCATTTTATGTACTTTACTTACACATATACTCGTAGTACGTACTGACGCTCTTGCATGTGATTTTACATATTTGGGCACTTGAGGCGAAAAGCGCAAAGAAAATGGCAATAACAACAAATAAATTTTAAAGTGTCCCAGTAGGAAACACATGAAACGGGAGATGGTGGGATCATTAAAGGGAACGTTTTGTAAGGAATGAATCCAAAAAATACACTTTTTCTGTCAAGTATCTATTGATACGGCTTAAATTGTAATATCAGGTTGTCAACTATCTTAGAAGGACGTGGCTTTGACTTCCGGATTTTATAGAATATTGCTCTCACCAGCCCTTAAACTTCTATCACTCATTACGGTATGAGTTCCTTATGTTTCAATTGCTACTTTGAGTATTCCAGTAGTTACTGAATCTCAAGGCTTTGCTCACTTTCTTCGTGATTAAGTGTCCTTTAGTCACTATATGACAATCATATCATAGAGAGCCTTTGCTCGAACTCAGGAGATGCTGAAAATGGGTGCATACAGTTGATGTAGTTTCTTCAAAATCGTAAGCGATACTTCCTGGAGCGCATGCTATTAAGTTCTCTACCAACTATCTTTAGATCCCAAGATTTGTTGACGACTCGAAATAAAAAGATCTAGGCTATCCTTAGTCATGAAGGACAAATTTAATTTTGGAAATACTGTGAATCCATGCATGATTTCAACTCAAATCACTTTAAAACGAATCGTACTCTCGTAAACTCTATGGCTTTTGCACCAACCCTGAGAAAACTTAATATGTATAGCTAGAAGAGATTTAACATATTTTTGGTCGAAATTTTGTTTCATTCCTATGTATCAAGTGACGCTCATAAAAATCGGTCTCTGACACATTGAGCAGTAAATATACACACAAAACAGGAAGTCACCATATTATAAAAGCATAAATTGTGACGACATAGTACTAAACCGTCTAGAATCCGCAACAGCAAGTATCAACTAATGTGTAAATAAAGTAAGACAATAAAAAAAAACGAAAGGTTCAAATAGTTAGTGGATGGCATTGAAAGCATACCAAAATAACCCTCCCCCTACACTACCAGCCAGCAGTTGAAGAAGTCGTCATTTTTCTGGTCGATCAAATCGCTTAGTTCGGCTATTAGTTATAAAGTGTAGCGGGACAGAAAAAAAAAACCCTTAAAAAAGCAGCGTCTAATGCGCCTTGAGTGACTAAACGAGTGGGCTGAGTTCGTGTTATGGCTCTGCCAACTGGCGAGCGTAAGCACTTGGCTTGTACATCTGCTCTCCAACATTACGTTTTCACTTTTACTTGCCAAAAACGTATTCACTGTCGCGCTAGATTTATTTTACACGAAATTTTTTCGGTTTTTTTGACTTTCGTAGCATTGGAAAAAAATAAACAGTTAACTAGCGAATATGAAAATATTGCCTGCCACTTTGTTTAGCCGTACCCACTTCTCGTTCCCTTCAAAAAGTAATCATGCTTTGTTAGCCGACTGCGTTTCGCGGCGAAAAGTCAAAAATACATGTGTTGAGATTTGTCTTAGATTACCCTTTCACTTGTGCGCGAGCAACCTTCCTCAGCTGACTGAGTCGTGAGCCAAAATGTTGCGCGGAAAAATTTGCATAATTTGTTAAAAGACATTCCAAACTGGAATGTGACTTATGGCTAGCGTAAGCGAGTATGCATTATGGCGGATCTTAGCTCAGATTTGCGAACTGGTGGGTGGTTGGTGCGTCTTAGTTCTTTGTCAAATGCGTCTCTTCGAGTAGACATGATAAATGACTTTTCAATAGCAACGTGACACACTTAATTCATGGGCACATCCGAAATAATGGTCGTTATTATTTCATTTTTGGTTTTGTATCACTAATTTATGAAATTTCAGCCGGATTTTAGAAAAATTTAAATATTGCTCCCTTTCGTTCAGTCGGTGATATGATTGAATTCAAGGTTTGTGAAATAGTTGAGGCCGTAGGCAACACAAAAGGTTGGATGAGTCATATCTTGAATGAGCAATTGGACGTTAGAAAGCTCTTAGCGCCATGAATGGTTGCAGAGTTTGTCCACTCCGGTCAACACGTGAAACCATAAGACCGATTTCGAGTAATATTTGAGGCTGTCGAGCTCAATTTAAAGAAGTATTTGCGTCATTTCGTGATCATCGCTGAAACAATCCATCAACAATCCTCTGGATCATACCAGAGCTGAAGGAATAGTCGGAACAGCTGATTTTACTCGGCCAACCGGCTTCGAAAAACGATTAGCAAGGTCAGCGGACTCTGTTTTGTCGAATTATTATAAAAGAAGCCCCCATTTGGAAAAGAAAAAAGTGAACTTCCACCATGACAAGCACCGGCTCACACCTCCGTGTCGCCATGGATCGAATTATGCTACCAACTGCTGTCCCATCTCCCTTATTCTCTAGATTTTACTTTATGTTACTTTTTTTTTGTTTTAAACTTGAAAAAGTCGCTCATCGGACAGAAATTTTCGTCAAATCGAGTTGATAATTGGCCCAAGAAACATATCGAAAGCCAACATCGTTTCTGATTCTTCGCAATTCGGTTCTGTTGTCGCAGAAACCAGCTCTGCAGTTCATCGTACAGTATGCCGACCAGACTTCTGACACAACTCACTTCATTCCGGACAGAAATTTGAGTTTAATCGGGGGGTTTTCGCAGCCATATCATATTTTTCAGACGGATAAAAAAATGCTTAACACTAGGTCAAGTTTATGGAGCTAAGTGTACATTTTTCCAAAATGTTCTTTTGTAGGCTAAGTACTTATCGGATCAAACTCGTACAGAGAAATAATTTCGATAGTGGTCTTACGAACCCTAAATCGTTGTTAATTTAAACATATTCAGTACAACTATATAAAACGGTCACTATGTCTAGTCTCCCTCTTTATATCCGAATGAAACTGTTAAAATCTATTTTGAACCGTTCGTCTAATATTGCTTTCCTCACTCACTTTCAGGTTTGGTTTCAAAACCGCCGCGCGAAATGGCGCAAAACGGAGAAATGTTGGGGACGCAGCACAATCATGGCCGAGTACGGATTGTATGGAGCGATGGTGCGCCATTCGTTGCCACTGCCGGAGACCATCATCAAATCGGCTAAGGAGAACGAGTCAGTGGCACCGTGGCTACTAGGTATGGAGACGGAAAGTAAATGCAAAAATTTATCAAATTTACTTTTTTAATTATGCAAATACGTATGCGTAAAACAAAAGTAACGGTAGATTTTAGTTTTGTTTGTAGTTTACTAATTATTTTTTGATCAATCTTTAATTTTGTGAAATAACTCTTTTGTTTTATAACAAACATTCAACAACAATGAAAATTTTGAAAATTGTGAACATATTTGAAGTGCATGATAAATTCATGTTGTCGCCGATTTGCGTCATATGTTCATAATATTAACTAGACGCGTACCTCACTCCACCCGCCGCCCGCCGTGAGGCATCTCTATTGAATTAGTAGAAATGACTTTGCGGATTAGCCACAGATAGACATTAGATCGCATAAAATATTCAATAGACAATTGTCGCTCTACAACAACAACTTCCTCTTCCTAACTGCCTTTGAGCTGAGGGGTGATGAGCAACTGGTAGCGCAACAACAACAATGAAAACTAATAAATATTTTCATGTTTCGCTCATTTATGCATTCGAGGGGTGTAAATTTATGCTTTGCGTACTCATAATGCCCCTTTCACCAGAACTTCGCCAAGTCTTTGTATTATCTGTGTGCGCTTCCACTTTTGTCCCATCGCCCTTCACACTTGGGCTTTGGCGTAGTTTGAAGAAGGCAGATATGTGCTGCTGCAATTTCTGCTCATTGTACTCATTATACGCTAACTTGATCCTTTTATTGTTAATAATCGCTCAATAAATGCAAGAGAACGACGAAAAATGCTGCAAGAAGTAAGGAAGTGCTAAGTTCGGCTGCAACCGAATTGTGACAAAAAAGTACCCGGAAGTTGTAATTAAAATATTTATTTTATCGCCTTCAAAGTAATCTCCGCCAGATGGAATACATTTATGCCACCAATTTTTCCAGTCCTCGAATAAGTACTTTTTGGGATGGCCTTCAACTCCATTACCAAATTTTGTTTTATCTCTTCAATCGAACACATTTCAGTCATAGTTCGAAGCGATAGTACATTATTAAGTAAAATCCATGAATTGTTCTTCCAAAGTTCTGGACGTTTTCGACGGATGTTTTCACGCGAACCCCTCAATACGACCAAATAGAACTCCATATTGACTGTCTGTCCCTCCGGAAGAAGTTCATGATGCACCAAACCACAAATATTAAAAAAAGCAAAGAGTGTCATTGCAATATGTGAAGGATCAGTGAAAACCATTTGGAAAGATCATTTGGGCCTAAGAGAAGTGAAGGCACGATTGCTTCCAAAATCACTAAATTTTTTCGAAAAACAGCGTCGCGTTGAGATTTATGAAAAAATGCTTTTCGACTATCAGAACATCATGAAACGTACTATTTCTGGCGATGAGTCTTGTATCTATCTGAAACAGACGACTAATCCACCGAATATCGTGACAAAGGTGAGCCCACCTATCAACGAGGAATTTTATTTGAATTACACTCAAATATGGCATATGGGAACCCAACTCATTTGTGACTATTATATATCTCACACATTAACCGATGTTTGCGATAAAAAGTTAACTATATATATATTTGGGTCTAAATATTCAGTATCTAGGGGCTTGAACAGATGGATTTGGACAATTTTTGCTCAGTGTGTCAAGTGGCATATTCTCACGGCACTAATAGTGCAAAGTTTTGTTCCGCAATATTGATTGCTTCTTGATTTGTACACTGGAAGAAAATATCGTCGTAGAGCTTTTTTGAAATAGTTGGGAGCGTAATAAAAATTCGTTTATCTGATTATAAGAAAACGTTCCGTTACAATTAAGGGGTTACATGTGACTTTTTATTGTTACAAACAGGGAAACTTTGACATTTTCGCGAGAATTTTTTAGAAATTTTTTGTGATCGAGAAAATAAAAAATCTTCGTCCAAATCTCTAAGAATTGTATCTGTGTACAACTTCATGAAGATCGGTTAAGTAGTTAAGAAATCTTGCCAAACGACTTCAAAAACTTCAGTTTCGAGAAAAACGCGTTTAAAGACGACGTGAAATTTTCGGACAATACTCTAAAGATGTTGTAGAATATAAAAAGACAATTGAAACCCGTAAACCAGTGTAACCCCTTAAGAGCTTAGAGTTGGAGAGCGTTCCTTAGAGAAAAAACACACCAAAAATATCAAGCGTAAGAAAGAAACGCTTTTTAGACGCACCCTAATACATGTATGTTTATATTTAGTTTGATAAAATTTGAATTTTTAATTAAAAGAAAATTTTTAAATTTAAAAAAGTTTTAAAAACAAATTAAAAAAAAAATATCTAAATATGAAAATTTAATTTAAAAAAAGTTTTAAAAACAAATTTAAAAAAATATCTAAATATGATTTTTTTGTAATTTTTTAAATTTGAATTTTTTGTAATTTTCTGTATATGTTTTTCTCAATTTCTCTTTGTCATATTTTGTGATAATCTCCTTAAATTTTTATTTTTGTTAATTTTTTTTTTTGGTTTTTATTTCAAATTCAGATTAAAATTCTTCAAATTCATCGAATTTTATTTTTAACTTTATTTTTATGTGTTTATGTTTAACTAAAACATTTATTTTTAAATCTAGTTTTAAATTTTGTTTTAATTTTATTTTAAATTTTAATTTTTTTTTTAATTTTTCTTTTAGTTTAAATTTTTAATTTTATTGTAAAAAGTTTAATAATATTCGTAATTTTTCTTGTGCACATGTTTAAATTTTAGTAATAATTTTAGAAAAAGTTTAAAATAATTGTAAAATCTGGCAATACTGTTGTTGTCTCAATCCGTATACCCTTAATACCCAATTTCCATTGTTCTCTGGCTAATCTCCAACTGATCTTATTTGTTGTGTTTTTAAGCACTTGCCTCGCGATTTAGTTCTCTTTCATTGCTCATTGCTTTGCCCTTGCAACCACTTACAATTGCCCTTCTAATCCCTAACCACTGACACTGGACAATAAAAACATTGCGCTGCTGCGTCAATACGCCACGCTGAGGCTACTTGTACACGTAATCTAGTCAAACGCATGACATATGGCCACACCACAACACCGCCTCCCCTTCTCCCTCAAGTATACGTGTACTTGTTTTTGTTTTAAGTTGTAAGCCCACTTTAGAGAGAGCCTATTGTCTACTCGTATTTATTCATATATTTTCATATACTATCTATGCATGTATGTATGTACATATGTACGTGCTTATATCCTTAAAATTTTGTTGATGTGTGTGTGTGTGTTTACGCGTCTTTGTTGACTTCAAGTAGCTTAACGCGGATTTAAAATGGCAATTTTCATTTAATTCCGTTTTATTTTATTTCATTTATTAACTGCTGTCAAAACAGCCAAGCCAACCACCCGCTGCCGCCGCCCACCACATAACCGCCCGGCCGCATTTCATTGCTATTCAATACAATCGTGCCATAAATACATTCGTACTGGTTCGTTTCTTCTCGCAATCTGCTTGACATTTTTAATTTTCCACCGCCCTTAATTTATGTCCTTTAATCGCTTTGATAATTTCAATTAAAAACGCTTGCAAATTCTCATTTCGTATATGTGGAGGGGGCTGGGGGGAGCATGAGTCGCATTATAGTGACATCTCTCTTTCTAATTAGAAATTAATAATAGAGAGACATTAAGATTACAGTTAAGGCATACATATATGTAGTATGTATTGTTGTTGCGTGCCTGGAATGACTGACAGGCTTAGCGGTTCAATAAAATATTTTCTTGTTCATATAAAAGTTTAAATCGCTTTTGTTAAGGCGGCTGAAACTCATTCATAAAAGGACTTACTTGTTATTGTAGCGTTAGAAAATATCCCCGTTACAAAATACTGCACTCCGGACTATTACAAGCATCCTCTCGTTGACCATTGGTACAGCGGGGTCCGCATGCCTTCGGTCAAGAAACATAATGAGGTCCTTTCAAGCAGTTTCTGTTGGGTTTTTTTTTTCAGAAATCATCCTTGCAGTCGATCGAACAATACACCGACCAGACTCAACCCACTTCATAGCAATTAACACCGTGACCGACTCCCTATCAGAGCATGGCGCACTTCAAGCAAAATCACCACCCATTGCAGACCAAGAGTTCGAGTTGATCCAAGAGTTTAGACGCGCAATGTCATTCTGGATGCTGTAGGAGGTTAAAGTCCTACTTATCCACAAGCGACCCCGACTATGCCAAATATATGACCATCGAGCAATGAGTGCTCTCATGACTCTAGCCACATCTTTGCATATTCAGCGAACTAAACGTATCTAACTCCCTTCCTCCCGTTCCCACGACAGTCGGGTCTACGAAAACGGGAACGGACTGTCTACTCGGCAGAACTGTGCCGTCACAACAACAACAGCAACAACTCCCTTCCCCCTATGGTCCGACTCCGTTAAAAGCTTCATGGCCTTACCGTTAGATGATTTTAATGACAACCACAGCAACAAGTTCAGTCGTATTTGACCGGGTAACAGTACGTGCTCCGTTCCAATTATGCAGACCCGACTGTCGTGGTATTCATATTTTAAAGACCTGGGGGACCTTATGGGTTAAAATTGAAAAACAACTTCTAATTTTAAAAACATTTCATTCACTGAAACCTCCTTTTTCTACAATTTTTAATAAAACATCAAAATTTCATACTAATGACTGCCCTTCCACCCCTTAGGCATGCATCGCAAATCGATAGAAGCCCAACAGACATTCAAAGATGACTCCGGCGTTAGCGATCACGAAGACTCGGCTGGTTCGAAATCCAATGACGAAGCGCACCGCCTCAGCTCCTCCACCGAGTCGTTGAATGTTGTTAGTCCGGGACCGACGCACGAGCGCACGCACATATCCTCAAATGCGACAACACCCACAGCTACCACAGCTTCATCATCGTCGCCGCACATCGATTTGAGCAGTCCCTCACCGCCCACATCGCATGCGTCAACCGCATCGCTGGCATTACAGCTCTCACCATTGCAACAACATCAGCGACATTTGTTCCAGCAAGTGCTAGTGCCGCCAACCGCACAACCCTCTTACCATCCGCTCATGGATGCGGCCAATGCCAGCGCGGGTGCGGCGACAAGCAAAGATTTCCACATGATTATGAACACGGCTGTGGCAGCGGCAGCGGCAGCCGCTGCGGCAAGTGGTGCTGCCACTACTGCTGGTGGTAGTGGCACAGGCGGCGCTGTAAGCGGTTTACATCATCATGGAAACGGCACGGCGGCTGCGTACGCAACGCTCGATCATGATCCGGACACATTTCGGTGCGTTTGAGATTTGCGTCACATTTAAGATCCATATATAGTAAATTGTGTTTCCTTTTCTCTTGTAGCAACAACTCGATCGCCTGTCTGCGCGCCAAAGCGCAGGAACACCAAGCTCGTCTGCTCAATAGTGGTCTCTTCTTGCAGGTGCGTTCCTTCGCCGGTTTCCAAGCCAACAGCCATGCGTCGAGCGTCAGCAATTCCGCCAGCAGTCGCGCTGCTAATACCAACAAAAGCAATAACAACAATGAATTCATAAAAATTGCAGACAACGTGGGTGTAGGTCAAACATCACCTGTGAATTTTGTTGGCATCTGTAATACTGATGGCAGCGGGCATAACAACAACAATATTGAATTCTGCTTGCCGATTGCAAGTGCCTTGCAACAACAGCAGCAGCACCAGCAACAACTGAAGTTGGAGCGCATGTCCTGTGATCTGTAGTATTAAAATGCAATTACCTTGCATCAAAACATCAAGCCAAAAACAACAAAAATATTAACGAATTTATTTAAAAATTAAACTTTACAAATTATAATAATTGAAACAAAAAATTTTAAGCTCATGTATGTAAATATATCTAAGGAAAAATATATGTATAAATTTAGGGTTTAAAAATTTAATTCAATGTAAAAATTGTGGTAATATATTTATAAAAATATTTTTATCATGGTTAATTTCCTCCATTATATGCGTAACAAGCTCGTATATGTCTAAAAATCATTTTAAAAACAATACTTTAAAAATATATTTAATAAAAATAAAATTTTTACAAAGAAAAAAATATTTCGTATATTGTGCATTTAAATTAATTAATTTATTCATTTTATGATAGCCCTTTCAATTCCCTTCAATTTGATACCCATATCGCCATACTACGCCAAGAAATAACGAAATGCATTTTTTGAACGACCCCGTCGCGTGCTCTGCTGCCAAATCGAAATTTTTGGGAATTGCACCAGGCGACCATAAGTGCCCAGCAAGCAACCACCGCAAAAAAAAACACCACGTACACGAACCGTCGATCTAGCAGTTTAGCAAAAGCACGAACCGTCGATCTTGCAGTATAGCCGAAACACAAACCAGCATCACTACTTTACCTACATCTCATTGCAAACTGCCTTACCCACACAAATGTCACAGTACGGCAACATTTGCTGCCGGTAAACAACACGTCAGATTTTGTTGTACTTTCTGCAGAAAATTGCATTCGCAGAATAATTTATTCAAAATAAACAGCTGTACGAATACAATTCATTCAATTATAAGAAGTAATTTAACAAAGACGTCGCTATGCTGTTGCGGCAAGTAATAGTAATATTACCATTGCTGTTGTGCTCGGTGCACGCAGGACCTGAGGAAAAAGAGGGTGTGCGCTTCGCCAATCGCTGTGAAGCTTGTAAAATACTAGCCACCGAACTGCAGGAGCGCCTAAAGGAAACCGGCAAATCACACGATGTCATCGAAATGGGGTAGGCTGAAAATAAAGAAATATTTTGTTGAAAATTAGTTTTTATACTAAACAATAATGCTTATTTATCTGCAGCTACTCGCTTGACGATGTGAAGCCAAAAAAGCGCACACAGTATCGTCGCAGTGAATTGCGTCTGCTCGAGTCATTGGAGAATGTTTGTAACCGTGTTTTAGAATACAATTTACATAAGGAGCGCACAGATAGCACACGCTTTGCCAAAGGCATGTCACAAACCTTTAAAGCGCTGCATGGACTTGTTGACAAAGGTGTCAAAGTCGATTTAGGCATACCATATGAATTGTGGGATAAGCCGCCAGTTGAAGTGACACAAATGAAGACACAATGTGAGAATCTGCTTGAAAACTATGAGGACACAATCTCCGATTGGTACTTTAATCATCAAGATGACAAAACACTGATAGCACATCTCTGTGAGGATGCTGTGTTGGCACACGACGACCGTAAATGCTTGCAGGAGACTTTGCCGCCTCTGGATAGCGAAGATTTTAACGATGTTGATGATGATTATGGGGACGATGATGTTACAGCTAAAACAACTAAGCAGTCGAAAAAGAAACGAAAGTCAAAGCAGAAAGGCGATGCCGGCAAATATGATGCAAACAAAGAACTTTGATTCAGTGGCGTAAAATAAGTGTGCAATCCCTGTATGTGTGCATGTAGAAATGCCAAATTCACGCGCTGGTCAACTGGCCGCTTATAATTGCGAACAAAAATTTTTCACATTTACTTTTAAGTAGACCTGAGATTCCTAGAGCATTTACAATTTGTATTACATAATTTTAAAAATATATATAACCAAATTAAGAATAAAGTTAGAAATTTAACAATAACAAAAAATTTTTTACCTTGGCCGAGCACTAAAAAATAACCAAACATAAAAAAATAGTAAGGAAATGCATAAACACAATAAAAAAAAAACAAAAAATAAATAAATTAAAAAGAACTACGCAGCAATTAAATAACACTAAAAGCATTCTATCGTGCCGTAAGCACAAAAATTAAACAACATAGACAAATGTCCAAAAGAATGCGTTGAAAACTAGAAAAGCTAAAGGAAATACACAACGTGCCTTGCGATCGATCCACATGGATATTTCCTGCGGTGTCAGTGTGGTCCAGCCGATATTGTGTTGCGCCTCGCCCATTTCAACGCTTGCCAAATCCGCTTTTTTGTAAGGCATTGAATCGCCAGTATTTAATGTTGTGCTACTAAAACTAGTCGATTTCGATAGATTATCCACCGCTTCATGCTCATGTATCGTGTTTATCGGTATATTATGTACCGTAAGATAATTATTAAATGGATCGTTTTCCTTCTGTGTACTTGCTGGTGGCACGCAGAAAGAACGCGAACGTCCAGTGGCACGTCGTTTGGAGCGTGGCGACAATGTTGATTTGAGTATATGTTTGCTATTCATTTTTTTCACATCCACATTACGCTTGCGACGCCAAATTGTGTTGACGAAAGCGAATTCGATGAGACTGCCGAAAATGAAGAGCGTACAACCGAGGAACCACACTTCCGAAACTTTTATGTAACTAACCTTGGGTAAAGTTTTACCTAATAATATAGAACAAAAAAATGTTGAATATATGAGCAATAATAATTTAACTTGTTCGCTACAACCTTGTGCTGAGGCTAGTGTTATAAATGTTAGCATAGTGCTGGTGCCCAGCATGATGCGCGGTGGCGCTTGATCTGCTTGCAACCAGAAGGACACCCAAGAAATTGCCACTATAAGCATTGAGGGTAGAAAATAATCCATCACATAGAAGCCGACTTGACGCGTTAAATGTACCGTGAAACTTAGTGAGCTGTAATTGCCAGCGAAAGCACCATGTCGTAAATCATTCAAATCGGCATTGACGACAGTTTCATTGGACCAAGCACCATGCTGCATGTATTCGGTTAGGTGTAGCGCCGGATCGAGAGTTATTGGACGCTTTTGTTCCCAATGCAACACAAGCTCGGATGTATTATACATCCAACTCTCCAATATTGTGCTGCAGTGCTGCTCATCGAAAGGGAATTTCTGCAAATTCATCCAACAATAGAGCGTAGCTTTAATGCGTGACGATATGATTACGGTTCCATCGGGTGAAATTGATGTCAATATATCCTTTTCATTAGTGCCTGAAAAAATAAAAAAAAAAAATACAAAATAAAAAAACAATACAAAGAAAAATTACAAAAAATAAAAACAGAAAAAATAGAAGCAAAAATTATAAAATTACAAAAAATAAAAAAATTACAAATTATAAATTAAAAAAAAAATAAAATAAAATACAAAAAATAATAATAAGAAACAAAAAATGAAAATAGTAAAAAACATAAAAAAAAAAATCATAGCAAACAAATACAAACCATAAACGCACACTTCAATTATTACTAGAAAGTTTACCTAGCAAACTTGAATCCCTTTCATTTGCCAGAAAAATATGCGGCATCCAAAGCGTGTCTCGTAATTGTTTCTCACCCAAAATAGGTTGTCTTCGCTTTGGCGCCACTTTACGGAAAGTTAACCGCGTATCGAGATATCGTAGCTGGAGCAACACGTGTATTTTAAACTGCAAATCATGCGCTTCCAAATTTTGCATGAAGTAAATGTAAGCACGCACATACACGTCTATGGGCAGGCGTGCACCATTCGATTCGGTGTAGCTAACCGGCCGCTCCAGGCGATCATAACGGCAACCGTGTGTAAGGCGTTCAATTAACTGTGTTTGTGAAAGATTATCAGCATCATTCAAGGACGGACAATCAGTATCAGCAGCTCTAACTGTGGCAGCTAATAAAAGAAAAATTGCGAATCTCAGGCTTGACATTATATCAAATTTTTAACGTGCCTGTGATGGCTACTTAACACTATTAAATTATAATTTTATCTATTTTAAAGTGACATTAGCGACACTAAAGTGTTAAAGTAATACTATAACGGTTCTTTTGTGTCAATTATTGTTGTATAAAGTACAGTTATATTCTTGCTGTAACTAACTGGTGTATGCATTTAATATTTAATTATCTACTTTACTTTATTTCTTTGATTTCTTTTAATTGCTTTGTATGCATAATTATTTCAAAATATAAAAATAACTCCTTCAAAACAGTTTGATTTATCATGTATTTTACATGTCACCAACACCATCACTCCACAACAGTGATATTCAAACTATTGTTTACAAGCATTTATGGTGTTGCCAACTACGTAAAAAAATTTGTTTATTGAGTGGTGTTGCCATTGTCCTTCCTTATTCGTAGAATATATAATAAATAAATTGAAAAATTTGCACATCAGTTGTTGTTGTCGTATTGTAGCGAAGAAAACATTTCCAAAATTTAAGCGACATATATATTGTATATAAATCCCTCTCTTATATATTGTATATAAATCCCTCTCTATGTTAAGATCTCTCCATTTCTTACAAAACTATGTCTACGTATGCACTCACAAATTTCTGAAATTTTAATTCAATATTTCAAGTATGGCATCACTTAACACCACGCCACAGCTGTTTGCGTCTACAAACACAAAATCGGGATTTCTGACAACTTTGCGAAAACTTCACGCGCTAATAAATTTTTACTTTTTCTATAAAGTATTATGGATATATCTTCAAAAATAGAAGAATAAATGCATTTTATTCACATTTAATAGAAATAATATATAATCTGTGCAGTGAGCGAGTTTTATATAGTGTAGCAGGCAATCGGCACTTAATCCTAGAAACATGCAGCAGGTATGGTAAAAAATTGTTTTCATTAATTTTAATAAAATATCTATAAATTTAGATGATGGAAACGATGGATGCCTCAGGATCGGCCAATGAATCTGAAACACCAACAGATGCGCCTGTTCTTATGGAAACAGATGAACCTACTGAGCCTGCTGCATCTACAGCTGGCATAACAAATGCAGGAAATAACGCCAATGCAGAAAGCGGTATCGACAATACAGGTAGTGCAGAATCCGGCCCTACAACTTCTGATGAAACGAATGATAACAACAACGTAAATGAGAACACCAGTCAAGCTAGTGATCAACACAACGGTGTGTCTTCAAGCACCGATATGCCACCGCCGCAGCCAACTGGAAATGTGCCTGCAGGAGAAAATGAAGCTTTAGCAACGACGCCGTCAGGGCCACCTATTGACGAAGAAGATGCTAAATGGCATACTGTGGGCATTTATAGTGGACTTAACGCCACCGTTTCTTCATACATTGATAATAGCATATGGTCATCTTCTGGTTTAAAATTGACATCTAAAAATTTACCGGATCTTACAACAATTCAACGTGTGAACCTTGAACCTGGCACAGCTTACCGTTTTCGCTTGCGCGCTATCAATACTTGCGGCGCTAGTGATTGGAGTGAGATATCAAGCTTCAAAACTTGTCTACCCGGCTTTCCAGGCGCACCATCAGCTATTAAAATATCAAAATCATCCGAGGGCGCTCATCTCACCTGGGAGCCACCACCAAGCTGTGTGAACTCTAATGAAATCATCGAATACTCGGTTTATTTGGCTGTAAAACCAGGCAAAGATAAGGATGGTAAGCCTATTGGTGCTGGTGCACGACTACCAGCCCAACTTGCATTTGTACGCGTCTATGTGGGCGCAGCCAATCAATGTACAGTAGCACATTCGTCCTTGGCGACAGCACATGTGGATTGCTCAAACAAGCCAGCTATTATATTCCGCATTGCAGCGCGAAACGACAAGGGTTACGGGCCGGCGACGCAGGTTAGGTGGCTGCAGGATCCAGTACAGACTGGCTCATCTCCAGGCGGTAGTTTGGCTGGCAATACGGGTAGCATACAGTCTCCAACACGCATCAAGCCGGAATTGGGCAGTGCATCGCCAAATAAACGTTTTAAGGGCAGTGGAGGAGCAGGTGGGGGTGGACGCACTGTTTTGCCTTGAGTGGGTTTACAATTAGCAAATCGTGCGCAGGACACTAATATTTAGTTTATAAGTAATATTTTATAAATAAAGCAACAAATACAATTCAAAATTAATCTATCTGTAAATGATGAGTCAAATGTAAACAGTCGATTAAAATTTCGTAATCCATAAAGGCATGGCTCCCAGTTTCATACAGCGTTTACATTATACTTCCTGAGATTATCTGTAAGCACATTATAAAAATATCCCGTTTTTTTTTTGTATATACATGTACAAGAACTTGGAATCAATAAAATTAATTACGAATGCATGTCGATGTGTTTAGAACTTTCGAACAGTTGCTGATGATTTCAATTCTGTTTGATTTCTATGCAGTTTTTTTAACATTAAAAGGCTTACCTTCGATAGAATTCGCACACACCTCCAAGTACTCTGTATTATTGTGGTCTTTCATAAAGTTGGAGGCCTTTATATGTACACTATAATCTGGTCCATATTTTAGGAAATCACTATTATCAGCAGGTATGTCTTCTGGCAGTGGTACGCCGCAACAGGTGGCGGTCAATTGGGTCCACAAACGACTAGAATTTGTAAAATTATAACCGCCACCTCCCAAAAGCACAGTTGGCAATCCATTCATTAATATAAATTCGACACATTCAATTAAGTCTGCTGGTGTAAGGTTTGTGCCACCGAGTGGATCACCAACTAATGCATCGGCGCCACATTGTATCACACACACCTCAGGATTGTATAATTGCAGTATTTTTGTCAATACACTAAAAGCAACAGATATGTAGCAGACTTCATAAATGAGCACCTTTAACTCACCGTTTAAGATACTTGTAGAAGTTTTTACCGCCTATACCACTTTGATATGGAAAATTTGCTGCATAGCCTTTACCCTCACCGAAACCACAATCATCCATACCGCCAGTGCCTGGATAATAGCCACATTCATAACGATGCATCGAAAAAGTAAAAACACGTTTGGTTACTTCAAACGCTTGCTGCACACCATCACCATGATGTGCATCCAAATCTACATAAAGCACCCTTTTGAAATGTTTACGCAGCACTAAAATGCCTAAAACGATATCATTGACGTAGCAATAACCGGCTGCGCGATCACGCTGAGCATGGTGCCAACCACCAGTCCAATTGATAATTATAGTCTGTTCACTGTTGTTTGTTACACCATATTTGCACAGTGCAACACAAGCACTCATTGTACCGCCCGCCACTGTGCAAGCATATTCCCAAACGCCTCGCCAACTGGGACAATCGAAACCCAAACCATACTCGATGTGTGTGAGTGTTGTGTCTAATGCACAGTTGTTATCTTCGTCATCACCGCTTGAGGAGCAAGCTTCCTCTAACGTGTCATTCAGCATTTTCTGTTTAACAAACACATTTGTTGTACTTTTTGTTTTACTAAGCGTAGCTTTCTTCAGCAACTCTTCCACATAAGCGCTATTATGAAAACGGCGTAAGTCTGTATATTTGCAAATTCTCGGTTCCAGTCGTTGCATATGCTTCAGTAGTCCATATGAAGCAATCAGTGAGTGGGTTAGTGAAGCCTTTAAATAATTCTAGTTAGCGTTTTCGCATAATATTGCAATGTTACTGCTTACCCTACCCCTCACTGCTGGGTTTTTGTCTGCTTGTTGTATTAAATTGCCATTATGCACATAAATTACATTTCTCTTTTGCATTTTTTAATATTTATAAAGCAGATATTTAAAAAAGCGCGGTTTGCGGGAAAACAATATCAACAAAATAGTTCGAGCAGTGCGGCCAAGTTTAGTTTTCTTATAAAAGCAAAGAGTGTTGCTGAAAAAACAAAAAAGGAAAGAAACAAAACACAAAAATATTAAACCAAAAATCATTTCGAAGACGAAAGATAATGAAATAAGGGATTTGTTTAAATAATTATGTGGAAATAAATAACGATAATATTAATCGTGCCAAACTTTACATTACACTTTAAACAGAGTTGTTAAGTTTATTTAAAATGCTTAATACATAATTATAACTTACCTTGCTCAAAACTAACAAACTCCACACTACATAACAATTAATAAATTTTATTTTCTGTAATTACTGCCGTTGTTTTATAAATTTACAGTTTCATTTTAAACTACATTCATATTAATTACTCTTATTCCTACGTTTATATACTCCAATTTAAAAATTCCTTCAATTCAACTAATAGTTATGTTTCTATTAACATTCGTTTCTTTTACTAATATTCCAAATGCTTTTTTATATCTACATTTAATTTACTAATTTATTACTTTTATGCATTCGGTTAGAACTAAAAGTACAGTTAATTACTTATGTATTATTGACATGTACAAAAGATTTAGAATCTATGAATATGCGAAAGTAGTTTAGTACGTTTGTTAATTTAATACTTCTAACTGTTTTAAAGTTAATTATATAGTTTCACTACAAAATATGTTGTTATTATGTTTTCCAAGAATCGTACAAAAATTCGTAACAGTTATTTGTAATTATATATTACTTTGTGGAATAACACAATATACACATATATTTGTAATTGTTAGACTAATACTATTTATTGGAGTTCAGAGTAACAGCGAAGAAGTCAATTGTTGCTGATTTATCTATATACAGACCTTAAGGACTACAGACACATATACATACATAAATGTAATACTAATTTATATATTTATATTATTTATATAATTTATATTTGTCTGTGTTATTTATATAATTAATATATTATTCGAATTATTTTTTTATTGTTTATATCTGTCTCTTATACACATCTAGATGTGTATAAGAGACAGATTTAACACCTATGCACTGTTAAAAAAAGGTTAACATTGTCTCGACTAGTGGAGTCTCGAGTTTGAAGCGCATTTGAAGTAAAAATGAGCCTGGAGACTAGGACTGCCACTACAGCAAAACTTGATTTAAGCTGACACCTGTAGCTTTGTATTTTCTCAGCCGATTGATGTTGTGAAAACTATTTCAAATCGATAATCAGTTGAGTGAAGACGAACAGTTAGCTTGGTTGCTAAGAATAAGCTAAGGGGTAAAGGGGGACCTTGTTTCCATAATGCATTCATCATCTTAAGCCTTTCAAAACTGCAGCTTTCCAAACTAACCCGAAGACTCGGTGGTTCTTATATTAAAAACAAGGATTTTCTCTCTGCTTTCTGATTATAGACGCTGCAACTTTTAGTTGAATTTTATATCGAAATTATTTGAATGGCTCCATTAATGTTTCTTCGTTTTAAACCCTTTAAGAATATGCTGCTTGGCTAAAACTTTGTCTAGAGCCACTCAAACTTCACAAATATTCTGCCATTTACAGCAACTATAAAACACCCCATAAAGACTCTATAGCGCATGGAAGTAGTCTCTGGTATGGACTCTGGGGTCTGGTCTGAAATTAGCTTATAAGGGCTCACAAAGTGCTTTATATTTTACGAACAGAAATCTCTAAAAGGGCTGCATAATCCATTAATTTTCTTACATTTACAGTGGCGATAAGTTGCTCTATAAAGTTGTAACGAATGGAGCGAGTCCCTGGTTTGTGCTCAGAACTTGTATGCTAAAATGAATGCAGTTCAGAAAAAAGTAGGATGCATAAAATCTAGTAATGCGTTTTGAAACGTGTACTCGAAATATTTACGCTAAGAAAGCAATGCCTTGCCGTATCAACACAGCTTTTAACAATTCTGGCACAAACTATACAAATTTACTATTTACAAACCTAGTCACTATGCAAGTTTATAGATTAGTCTAACACTTTCACTTATTTACTCAAATTTTCAATGTCCTCAAATCGCTGCTAAACCTAGTACTCACTTACATACAATCTGTTGAAGACTCCATTTCGGGTTCCTCACTCAAAGTGTAAACACTCATGACCGCCTGCGATGCACTGCCGCTGATTGATGGATCCAAGCAGGATTGCGACGACAATGTGGAATTGTCCAAAATAGGTGCGTTCAAGGTTGTAAGACCGGCACCAGTCGGTAGCAGATTYGGCGGCGTCGCAGCCGTGGTTGCTGCACTTGTGTAGGGCGTTAAGCTGTTTAAAGGCATGGTATTTGTATTTGCGCCTTTTAGGAGATGTGTTGAGGTGGTTGACAAGCTGTTCGGATCCATGGTGAGTATGGGAACTAGCTCATGATTGACATAGTCTTTCAATGCATGCAGCTGACTTAGATCTGTGTCCAGCTGTGCGCCGTAAGCGAGTGAAGTTGGCGTGCCTGCGAAATGGAACGAAGATGAGTTGAATTTAAAAATAATTTAATGGGTTTGTATTACCTGTCACCAGCGTCTCTTCGGTGGGATTGCGTTTGTACAAGCTTGTGCCCTTCTCAAATTGTCAAGGCGGCATATAGTAGCCTTGCTCCTCACCCATCGTATCCAGCGCATTGCTTGCTTTCTTGAATTCTACCACGATTTTGATGCGATGCACAATCTCCTCGTGTATAACATTGAAGCACATCGCTGTGAGCGCCATGCCAGACATGATATAAATTGAACAAAACCATGTGGTCGTAGTGGATTCGCGTCGTAAACCCGGTAGCATATCACCAAAACCAATTGTTGATAAACTCATGAAACAGAAGTAGATGCCATCGAGTATGGGCCAGTCTTCCAGTCGGTATAGTACGACTGCACCGATTAGTATGTAGATGATCATCATTGAAAGGCACAACAAAATTGGCGCCAATATACTGAGCCCATGCATGGAGCCACGTGATTCACTCGCACTCAACGAATCGATGTCGGGTGGCAACATCTGTGTGCCACCAGTTAGATTTGATTGTTTCTCCGTTGTGGCGTATGAGTCGTGTACATAGTAAGGTTCCTGCAAGGCAGCCTGTTGTTTACGCAATTCCTCTTGCTGTCGTTTACGCTTCATGCGACGCTCCTTTTCAGCCATACGCTTTTCATCGTAACAACAATAGCCGCAATTTGAGCAGAGACAACAGCATAACGCTTTGGAGAATACCTCACGTGCCACTTTTGCTAAAATGCCACCAGTACTGGAGAGATAAATGAGCGTAAGCGGTATGCCGAAAATGGCGTAGACGAGTGTCACCAAACGGCCGAGCGTAGTGCGTGGTGCTATGTTACCGTAACCTATATGGAGTTGAAAAGAAGTAGCACGAAATAAATTAATACGGTGTTACATAAGAAACATTCAAAGTAAAATAAATGTATGTAAGCTTATTTAAGCTCCCATACTTTAAGCCTGATGCTTAGTGTGGGTTCCCCACATTTTCATGTACTGTGGATAAAACCTAGAAAATTTTCCTCTGAACGGCTGGGCTTCGCTTTATCCCTAGCTTACTAGCCGTAACCTCGCTTATCTTCAAACTTTAACTTCATTGAACTCTAGCCTGACTTGGCTCCTCCATTAGTTTGATCTTTACCTCATTTGTCTTTTTAATTTAACTCGTTTAACTTTTTTCATTACCCCGCTTGGTCCTTAGGTCTTCATGTTCCGAGCTTGGAAGTTGAAAATTATTTTGGGGAGAAGCATTAATACAACAACAATGTCAGCTTCGAAATTTATCGCAGCATAATTCTTGCCAACAGATAGCATCTTCGGATTGAGTAGGTAATTCAGAAGTAAAGTGCTCTCTCGACAAACAAACACCAAACTCTACTCATCATCCTCGTCCTGCTATTTAGTGCAGATGCATGGACGAGGACAACAGCTGTTGAGTCGGCTTTAGGAGTTTTCGAGAGAAAGGTTTAAGGAAGATTTGTGGTCCTTTGTGCATTAGCAACGGCAATACCGCAGTCGACGAACTACGAGCCGGATGAAGCAGAGAATCCACTCCTTTGCAAAAAACTAGGTGGAGAAGATCTACACTTGGAATCTCCAAATTGGTGCCAACAGTGAAAGGGAAGAACGACTGGCTCTCAATTCCAAAAGCGAGCTCGATTTCAAACTGTAACAGGGCTAATAACAAGGTAAAGTTTCGTACTAAATTTTGGGTGAAATACGATTTTAACTAAAAGTGGGCGGTGTCACGCCTTTGGTGCCACTTTTCAAAAAATTTTGGACCACAGCTGCCCCTCCTTAACCCGATTCCCTGTCTCAAGTTTATGTTTTGCAGCTGCAATTGTATTAAAATGCTACTTTGTAGGCGTGGCAATGATCCACTTTTGCCCAACATATTGCCATAGCGTAATAAATGTTTGCCAAATCGAACGTTTATCTCATGTTAAGTATTTTTTCATTACCCTCATTTATTACTTTCGTTCCTTGCGCGAAGTAATAAAACAATAAGATATTCATGAAATGACACAAATTTTGCGCTTGAATGTTTGAGAAGCGCTGTGGTGTTGTTTTAAATTACATCAATAACAGTAAAAATTTACAATATTGACTGATTGAATTTCGACAGTTGACAGGGAGTGTAAAATTAAGTATGTAGATGAAAAAACTGCTTTGGTTTTTTATTTTTTTATTATGTAATTTTATATGCATAACGGTATTTGAATATATGCACATATTGTTTCAACTTTTACTTCGATTATTGGCATTTTTATGATACTTTAATGTTCGGGAAGTGGCGGTTTTATTGGCAGCAAAAATAAAAATAGAATATGTAAATAATGCTAATGGCTTAAGATAAAGACCGAATACTTTTGTTTTGACAGGAAGCGACAGCAAAATTTCGCAAACGAATATGTTAGGGGAAAAGAGTTTAACTGAATGACTGCAAGCAGCACATTGATATGTGAACTCGTGAATGTTGTGTAGTAATAAACAATAATGTTTGAGATATCGAATATAATTCCCATATTTCTTTTTATGAACTCCAAACTCAAAAAGTTTCTCGCTGGAGAAAGATTTCACTCATATGATCAGGTCAATATGAAGTAAGCACCTTTCTTGAAGCGTTCGAATGTTCTTCTGGTAGAAATCGGTATCGAAATGATGGAACACTAGTTTAAATGTATTACTCTCTTATGATGAGGAGACATAAAAAATTTATAGATATATACGATGCAGTCATATTTTCATAACAAAAAACGATCTGTCATATTTAGGTCAAGGACTTATGAGCTCTGGTACAATAGTACATATCTACAGGTTATAGATCTCAGGAAAGATTACCGGCTGATGAGCATTTTGGACAGCCACTTCAGTCTCAATAACTGCGCAGTGTAGACGGGATTTTTCTGGTTTATTATTGGACTGTTGCACCCTAGACCAAATCAGCACGTGCTGATTGACTACCAGCAGGTATAGGATCCAGGGTAAACTGCATGATGTCCAGGAAACTCTTTGCGCTCAACAAGGTATACCTTTCAGTGGTTAAAAGAGGTCATTAAAATTCAAGTAAATTTCAAATGTAGAGGAAAGCTCTACAGTCAGCTGCAATATTGGATGCATCGGTTGAATATGTTGTCAGGACTTTCGGACATAGTTAAATAAGCAGGGAGTTGGTGGATAAAATAGACCACATACACTCGCGATTTATTCGGGAAAGAAAGCCTCAAGTCCTACTAAAAAAGGATGAATGTCGAAAGAGCATGCAGCTCGCAAGCGGTATTTACAAAATCTCTGCAGACTCATCGAAAATGTCGATTGAGTTGGAGTTGGATAAATTTCTCGGAGCTGGATCTCAGACGACCCTTCAATTTCTCCGAATATCACAATATTTTCCTGGCGGAAGTCTTTGCGATGAGGAATGCGGCTGAGATAGCTAACAATGTAGAAAACAACAAAGTGAAGATCAATATATAGATCATTAGTCAGGCGGCAGTAATCTCACATAGCTTTATGTCAGAGAATGTACCTAGAAGCAGGAACGGAGATTTAGTGGAGGCCGAAAAGCCACAAAAGAAACTGGGTTTCTAGAAACGAAATTGCTGATGAGATTGCCAAAAGTGTTATTCGTCTGACTACCAAACCAGTACAAGAAACATGGAAGTCACTAAAAATGATATACAACGAAATTTCCGACATTGATAACAGACGTTTTAGGAAGAGAAGGCATGCTTTAAAAACATGTAAGATCACCAAGATTATGTGGAAGAATCCCGAGGAAAGACACGAATGTTTTTTAATCAGACGGTCTCGAAAGGTCAACCGGCATGGGTATAAGTAATGACGATACATATAGAAAATATAGAAAATGTAGGAAAGTAGGTAAGAGAGACACTGTAACATCTCCTAAGCTTCTGTCCAGCATTATCAAGAACTCACCTTAGATATTTAGTAACTTTGTAGTTACAGGGACTAGACGAAATATCAGACTTAGATATCAAGTCACTCTTAAAATTCGCGAAAAACATTGATGTTCTATATAACGATTATTTAAAAACTATTCAAACTACACTGTACTACAATCTGGCATTACTAGGGCTGTACGTTGTGACATCCGGCCAGTATAAACCTAACCTAAAACAACTAAATTCTTGCTAACATAACATAATAAAAAAATTGATTTTAGTAATATATAAAAAAGTACTTAGTTTTTGTAGTAGGTAGTTCATGCAACTTAAATAAAATATTATTTTCTTATATTTTCAATAAAAAAATTAATTTCTTTTATGATTTTATATATGAAACACCTTCTTTTATATACGTATACTTTTCAATCCCTGGCCATATGTTGAATTTTAATTGTTTAGGGTGTGCACAACACAAAAATCGTAATAAAAACGGAATACAAAGAAACGGGCTGAAGCAATTCACAAACTACAAATACTTTATATTAGTAGTTGTTGTTGTTGTTCTTGCTGTAATACGCATTACTTACAATTGCATTTGTTTATTGCCTGGCTTGTGCAGTTGTACATCTGCGAGTGATTTTTTATAGCCGTAAAGCTTGACGCCAGAGTCATGAAATACAAAGTCCAAAGCCAGTTGGCTTTGCGCCTGTGCATATGCTTTGCATTTTTATTTATTAGCAAATTACTTGCGACTACAACGACAAAAGCGTCAATATGTTTGCGCTATTGGCACACAATGCTATAAACCCACCAACCACCAACAATACTTGGGCATTGTTAGCTGCAACAACAAAAAAAAAATCTTACAGTAAAGCATTGCGTATAAGAATTGATGCAAATACTTTTTGCTTTCATTACGGGAGACAGCAAAGAAGTTGGCATAATGTATGCAGCTGTAGAGGCTGTTAAGCTACAACAAGCCACCCTGCGTAGTTATATGCTTGCGTTTGTAAGTATATATGCTGTTGGGTTAGTAAATCCGTGTCTGTGTAGTAAATTTGCAAATTGAAAGAAAAAGCAGAAACGGAAAAATTCTGCTGATATTGGCAATTTGCAAATATATTATGAAGATACTTTATTGTTTGTTGCGTATGTCCTTACTGGTCATCTCCCACACAATTGTTGTCTTTATTGGTTACCCAAACGTCTGCTGTATGGGACGAGAAGTGGCGTAAGTCACATTTTGTGTGCTCCTGTGTGTTAAAACAATATGCGCGTACACTCAAACACAAACACGCACACGCACTTATGTGCTATTCTATTTTTACTTGACTCTGACTGTATGCCATTATTGGCCATTATTGCCATTGGCATAAATTAAAATTTACGATATCTCACGCTGCGTTTGTGGGTGTGGAAATGTTATTCACATGCTTTCGTATATATGTATTTGCAAGGTTATGTGTTTTGTTATGCTTGTGCCCCGTAATATGTGATACTAGCTTAGGCGTACAGAGCTCACTTCCGTGCATATATTGCTGTTTGAGACAACATTTTTGCAGGTTGAATGCGTATAGGGGAATCAAATACAAGTAGAAACTCTGTGAGTTAAATTTTGGAGTAGATTTTTTCCCATATTTTAGTGTAAACTACTTTTTTGGTAGTCAAAAGCTTTAAGTTGTATTCTAAGGGAAGTTTAGTATAACGAATGTGGCAAAAGAAAAGATTTGAGTGTAAATTTAATGAATCGAAAAAGTGTATCAACTTTGTCTGCTAACCGCTTTTCATTTCTCTAAAACACCGTCATAATACAACTGACTGGCGGAAAGGGTAAGACGAAGGATCAAGAGGAGCAGCTGTCAAAATAAACATGAGCTTTATAGCAAAATGTTTTTTCTAATAAAATTTCCTTGAGGGCTAGCTGTCACAGAAGCTGTCAAAGTACGTGAATATTTTTCTAATAAAATTTCCTTGAGGGCTAGCTGTCAAAGAAGCTGTCAAAGTACGTGAGTATTTTTCTAATCAAATTTCCTAGAGGGATAGCTGTCACAGAAGCTGTCAAAGTACGTGAGTATTTTTCTAATAAAATTTCCTAGAGGACTAGCTGTCATAGTAGCTGTCAAAGTACGTGAGTATTTTTCTAATAAAATTTCCTAGAGGGATAGCTGTCACAGAAGTTTTCAAAGTGCGTGCGTGCTTTCTTAATAAAATTTCCTAGGGGGCTAGCTGTCAAAGCACATGTGTACTTAATTCAATAGAGGTATGACTGTCAAACTATTCATCAATGTAAACTCGTTTATGCTTAATTCTACTCAATTGATTGCTTCTTGCATGTCTCAAATATAAAAATACTTTTTGTTAGTAATTTTTATATAGGGATAGTTCAAAGTAAACACAAGTGTACTTAATTCTATGACAGGTGCAAAAAAAGGTCTAAATTGAGTTTTGATATTGAATTTCGTCGAGAGATAGTTGTCAAACCAGCTGTCAAAGTCAACTTTATGAATAATTTTATGACAGAGTCGAATTTAATGGAGTTGGAGGTATAAAGCGATTATTGTTATAAAATTTCCTACAGGGATATCTGTTCAAAGTTCTAAAGCCTGCTAATGAATTTGCTGATATCTTTTTCATGAATTTTATTGCGTTTTTTTCCTTATATAAGTTCCGTGTCTCAAAACATGGCTATATTAGAATTATTTATTGTACATAAAGTAGATATTGCTTCCAAAATGGGATCCATATAACACATTGGTAACATTTTTATATCGACAATATAATTGCAAAAATAATGGAAGCATTCTAACATATAACTGGCGCTGAGCTCGTTCTGTCCATTAAAATTAAAGTATGCTTTGGAGAAAACCGATTAAGAAGTCTTATAAAAAGCAAGTTATATCCAAAAATATGTAACCAATGCCTACACAATTCACATTACACACTAATTGTTTTCAACTAATAGCTTTTGCTAGCCAAAGGGGAAGTATTTTTCAAAAAGTAATTAACCGTAAGCTTATAAATCCACTTGCTATGCTACTAAATTAAAAACTGCCATTTAAAACTTACCAATAGTCGTCAGAACGGTGAGCGAGTAGAGAAACGCTTTGGCGAAATTCCATTCGTGTGGTCCATGACCATGACCGTATTGACCGCCGTGTGTGTGTAGGAGTACAGCTTCCGTAGCCGGACTATTACCGGCAATCGCCGCACCATTTCCGCCGCCAGCAGTGATGCCGCCATCCATTTCATGTGATAATTGCAGTAGCGCGTCCTCGTTCAGTCTCTTGATTAATTGGTCTTGAAATTTGGCAATTTCCAAAGCGGCTAGCCTAAAAATGTGTAGGGAATTGATAAAAAGAAGGAGTAAGTAAGTAAGAAATGGCAATTGGTATATAACAGTATGCGAATTATTAATGCATTGGAAAATGTAATTTATGTCGTTTAATATTTTTTTTTTGAGTATGGAGCGCAGCTATCATTTTTAAAATTCTTTAAAAAAGTTTGCAGGCAATACATACTATATAATACTGTCTATTTTTCAATTATTTAAGAAATATTGGAATGTAGGTCAGGGAAGCTTAATATAGTATAAGTATAAAACAAAAATTAGTAGTTGCATAATGTGTGTTTAATAGAAAAATGTTGCATACTTTTAGGATTAGTTGCCGACATATCAGTCGAGACTTAAGCTAACTTAACAAAAAATTAAAATATATGTATTTGTTAATAGCCAATTTATTCTTTAGCATTTCTAATAAATACAGAATTCCGGCAATTTGTTACGTATACGCACCGTCAGACATCAACAAATTTATTCATACATTTGTAATAGAAAACAACATTAAAGTAACGTTAGAAAATACAAATTGGTTGCAATAAATGTTGAATTACAGAAAATTTAGAAATATAAATTCCAATGGAAATCAAAAGATTAAGATATTAAAAATTAAAAGAGAAATTGAACTAATTGTTCTTTAACCATACATATAAATTTAAAAAACTTGAATAATCAAATAATAACAAAATTTAAACAGGAAATTATAGCGATTTAAAAATTAAATTTAATTAAAAACCAAATAAAAT